CACTTTTGGATATATGAGGAATGACAGCAGTGTCCTGAGATCATTAGAGATCAACCCCAAACTCTGAAGAAAAGCCCATCCCTTCTAATAGTTTACTGTCATAAAAGTTATTATTTTGCTTTAACTATTAGAAAAAGAGCAGGATTATGAAGAGATATTTCACAATCAAAAAAGAAATATAAATAATTCATAAGCCTATGAAAAGTATTAGGAGTCGATTAAATGAAATGCAAATAAAATCGAGTTCTAATACTTTATCGAACTGACACAGCAAACAAATAAATAAATAGATAAAACTTTTCTGATTCATGGAAGCATCGCATTCTTCCCCAGTTAGAGCTTTACATGTTTGCTCCTCTTCCAGGGAGACTCTTCACCGGACTGGGCCTTCTTGGCTAGGCTAATGCCTGTCAACTTGAAGTCTTACTTTAAGTCACGTCACAGGACGCTTTATATATTTTTCTCTCTCGACTCCCCTAATAGTAGTGAAATGAATAATAGTATGATTAACTTCATTGCCTTTTTTCCCTGAATATATTTTTAGATATTTTGTTAGCTATGGGTTTACATTCATTTTCTTTTCCTTATATGATTACATAATTGCCATAATCTGATGTGTGTGCCTTATCCATGATTTAATGGATAACTAATTGTCACATCATTACTGAAATGGTCTATCCTTTCCCCACTGATCTGAAAAGTCCTCTCTGTCACATGCCAAGTTTCCATACAAGCATAAGGACACTGGGCTCTTTAGTTCCTGCTCCACTGGGCTCTACTGCCCACTGCACAGAAAGAAGGCATGCATTGAGGCAGCACAGGCTGAAGCAGACAAGGAATTTAACATCACAGATGCTGAGCAAGGAGGCAGGAGGGATTTCTCAAAATCTGTCTCCCCAAGAATTTGGAGGCTAGGGTTTTTAAGAATGGTTTAGCAGACAAAGGGCTAGGAAATTGTTTGGCTGGAGATGAACTTATAAGTTTGGGAAGCAAAAACTGTCTTCTTTCGGTGAGACAGTTTCTAGGTAGAGGATCACAGGGCCAGTTGAGTCAGTTCCCAAGGATGGTCACTGGTCCAGTTGGCTTGAGTTGGTCCCCCAAAAGCAGTCTGGAAGATACCTCAAAGACCAGTCTCAGGTTTTGCAGTAGTGATGTTTTCTACTGACGTGATTGGAGAAGTTACAAATCTTAGGGCAGATGGGAATATGTGACTGCTAAGCAGTAAGCAATTATGCAGGAAGGCACACCATGAAACAATGGCTGGTTGGCATTTAGCTTTGCCAACACATCTGTAGACATCAGACACAAGAGCCACAGCTATTGCCTTATGGACCTACATTACTTTAATATAGCTGGTTTCACTTTCAGAGCTCTTTATTCTGTTTCAATGGCTTATTTGTCTATTCCTGCAACTACTCCAAGTTTTAAATACATAAAATATTTTGATCATTATCTTTTTGCCATCTACCACCCCTTCAATATTTGTGTTCCTTTCTGCAGAAAATCTGATAAGTTAGATATTACATTTTTGTATCCTACCTTTGATGTGTCATCTCCTCGTCTCTGTGCTACATTCTGGGTATTTCCCCCAATGGAGCTATGTTCTTGCCCCTTGATTTTTCTCTTTAAATGTATGTATTCTGCTATTTAACAAGATCATTGAGAATACCATGACAGTTTTCCATTTTCCATCTCTATACATTTTACTTGGTGATTTTTCAATTCTTCCTGGATATCTGTTATTAATTAAGTTTTTAATTTCTCTTTTTTTTACAGAAACATATTAAGTATACATATATATTCAATCTTATATCTCATAATTCTAAAATCTCATCATTAAAAAAGTATAACTTTGGTGTTTGTGCTGACCTCCAGTACCTTTTTCGTAATTTCTGTGATTTGAATTGTGAATTCATATGCTGTATTCTTTTAATGTGGGGATAGTTTGAGGAATGGGTTAAAAATACATAAAATTTTAGAGAAAAAAATTTTTTTTAAATTTCTTTTTGTCATTCGCATTTGGAAAATACTAATTTGAAGCTGTTTTACGTGAAATTTTTTATTTTTCATTTGTTTGCTTGTTGAGACCACATAAGCAATATAGGTTCAGGTTCCAAACTCACACAGAGATGACTGTGTTTTAGCTTCACAGTGGAGATTGTTTACCCTCCCTCAACCAGGGCCAAGGCTGAGATGGGCACGTTTTCTTGATCCCTCAATTTGGGAGATTATTGCTGTTACTCCTATTACTGTTGGCATTTCAGTTCTCATCGAGGGCAGGCTTCACTCCAAATGGCAGCTCTGTGTGGGCTTCCAGATACAATGTCTGCTCATATCCATTAAAACTAGAATGACTCTATATTATGGTTTACTTTTGTTGTTCTAAGTTCCACTGAGTTTATCAATTCTTCTGGATTTTAAAAATTAAAATAGTGTCACTCTTTGTTGAATTCAAGTAATTCAAGTTGAGATAGGCTTGATAGATTGCCCCTTTGTACTTCCAGCTTCTGCCATGATCTGGTTGAGGAATATGTGAGATAACACTTGTGACTGGCAAAATGATCCTTTCAATACCAGGTTAAGTCTGAAGAATGCCCAGTGATGACCTTGCTTACTTATCCAGCCCTTTCCAAACCCAACTTGGCAAACACATCTCTTTTAAGAATAGCATGCACCATCTGAGGGATGGTCATGCTGGAAACTCAGACTTGTGGAGGGAGTGGGGGAAAGGGCATTTATTGAAACCTTAAAATCTGTACCCCCATAATATGCCGAAATAATAAAAAAAAGAATAGCATGCTGAGATCTTTCTGATAAAACAAAGTGTGCCCAGGCATAAGCAGAGGGATGGCTGGCATCTAACTGCACAGGGCTACCTCCACCAGTTTTGCAGTCAGTGGCCAGTGTGATATTCTTCTTTATTAATTTTGCTGATTTTTCATTCTAAGTTTTCTTATGAATGTATAAAAAGAAAAACAGTTTGTTATTCTGTAGGTTCCATTACTATAAAAATACAGAGTTAAATGATAACAGTTTTATACCAGTGTCAGTTGCTTCAAATAGAAAATTAATTAATTTAATGTTCATTAATTAATTTAATGTAGTAATGTGTTGATCTTTTTACAGGAAATTCAAGAAAGGTTTTGGATGTTTATTCTGCCACAGGTAAAATAATTAATATTATTGTGAATGGTATTGAAATTATAAATTCAGATAAAAAGCTCATTCTTTTTAGAAAGCCAAATATTTCTTGATGATTCACAGCATCATGGAACAAATGGAGTTATTATATTACAAAAACCTTTACAGAAGAAATACACTTGAAAGGTTGTTATAAAGATATATTCCATACTGTGTCCAAACCAACCACACCATTTACCAAGAAAAATAAAATCTATGGTTATTACAAATATTTTGCACACATACATTTATTGTAGCTTAACTACACAACTACCAAATGCAGATAATGAAATTTATGCTAAATTATATAGATGGATAGATAGATCTAAGTCTATGGATCTATCTATCCATGGATATATCATGTCTCTATATAGGTATATGTCAGCATGGTAGAATATACTTTCTTTCTTACTGCCTATCAATAACTCAAGTTAGAAAGGTATATGACATTTGAAGGACTCTAAGTTAACTAAGGTATCTACAATGGCATTGAACTATATTTAATAAAAGAATTCTCTAAAATTTGGTTGCGTACTGTTTAAATTGTTGCAAAATGGTAATAACATGATTCAGTGACTAAAATACCATACATTTTCAGCTTTAGGAATGTGTAATTATTGCAAATGAATCCTGAAAAGGGGAAACACTAAAATTTACCTCAAAAGGAATTGAATAACTTAAGGAATAATGGCTCAAGTAATATACAAATGTTACTTAAAAAAAAAAAAACACTTTGGAATGACACCATCTGTAGGTATTCTGATGGAATATTATTAACTTAATAATTTGTACTCTGTAGCCAGATATAATTGATTTGAGAAGACTATAATTTTATAGAATCTAAATTTGTTGAAACATTCAACAGAAAAACAAATTGATAATATCTCTTGTAAATTTTGTTGTATAATATTATAATAGTATATGTGAAAGAAAGGTTCTATGAATACATCTGTAAAAGCATTTGGGATGAAATATTTACATATTTTAATAAGGAAAACATGAATTGAGAATGTCCTGCATTATGAAGATTTTTTCCCCCGAAGCTCACCAGTTATTTCAGCCACTGTAAAGACGGTACTTTTCTGTCATATACACAGGAGAGTCAATGAAGCTGTCAAAATTTTCAAATGTGTTTTCCATAAATTGTGACTTTCAAGAGGATTGCAGGTAATTTTCCAAAAACAAAGTTAAAATGGTGAGAACATGTTTTAAACCTTACAATCTTCAGAAAAATATCTGTGATCTAGTATTAGAAACATATTTAGCTAAGGAGCTGAGCACCCTGTATGTTTGCTGAACTAGTTGAAAAAGTTCTCCTCTGCCATCAAAGACAGGGAAAAGCAAGCCGTGTGGGTGGCACTCACAGGCAGTGTCACCGTGGATGGTGGATGGAGAGAAAGTAACCATCCATGTGGCGTTGATGCGGAAAATGTCAGGCGCCCGGTAGCGGCCACCTGCCGCCTCCCTGTCGCTGCGTCTCCGCAGGCCAGCACTGCACGTGGCCGGCTGGAGGGCACGCTGCTGGGCCCGCCCCGTGGTAGAGCCGCCTGGCTCTGGACCCTGCTCGCTGACCTCCGCTGTCCAGGCCGCAGGGTGCTCAGAAGCCTCCGGTCATCTGGCTGCACCGGTCGCACGATTCTGATTGGGTAATTTTGAATCCCACTGTTGCTGATTGGATGTTAAAGCTTGATGCTGATTGGATGTTAAAGCTTGATGCTAATTGGATGTTAAAGCTTGTAGTTGATTGGACGCTTTTGGAGTCCTACCAAGGGTATAAAAGCAGGAGGAGACCAAGGAAGGGGGGTGAGAAGATCAGAAGACAGGAAGAGAGCTGTGACACTTGCTGGGTTGAGTCTGCTGGAAGAATAAAGGCTGTTCTCTGACTTTCATGTGCTGCTGGGTTGTTTCCTGTCAGAGCTGTAACACCAGCGCAACGGTGTGTGTAAGTAAACGTAGCCTGTGTGGCGTAGGAGGGGATGGGAGACCGCAGGGAAGTCTGCTCTTAAGACCCCGAATGTGCATGAGGCCCCCGGTGATGCCCAGCTCGTATTCGTTGGTGACACCACTCAGGGCAGATGTGTTTTCTGCCCGGAAACACAGGTGAAACAAATACCTGCTCGGTAGGTTAAGCAGGCAGCCACAACTGTGGTCAGCCTTATTTGTCCTCTCTCCCTCTCTCTCCGAAAGAACAAGCTTGTGGTGTGTTGGCCGTTGGCCACCTTCCCGCTGCTCAGCTGAGTTTCTCATCCTCGTGTCTGGTTCCTGCGGCCACGTCCGTCCCTGGGATGGCTGCCCTGGCAGCAGGAGCAACCGCGCAAGTGACAGCACGTGTGCGTCCGGGCATGGGGGTGTGAGCGCTGCACGCGTCGCTCTCTCACAACACGGGCACGTGTGAGTCTCCCTGGAACACTCCGGGGGAGGCGGGCGAGGAAGGGAAAGAGAAGAAATCGGGAAAACTGGCTTCTCATTCCAAAGAGGCCAAATTAACCTGCGTGAAACTAAGAGTTAATCGGGAATTCCTCTTTGGAATGAGAAGCCAGTTTTCCCGATTTCTTCTCTTTCTCTTTTCCTTCCTTCTCTTGACTAAATTAGCTCGAGTGAAATTAGGTAGTTCCACTACTGAGAAGTTACAGGCGCTCCAGGCATCCGATATGTCCCTGCACATTGAAGGTTCTGACTGTGAATTCCAGTCGTACTGTGTGTGTGCAAAGACATCAAAATTATTACAACATTTTTCATGATGGTGAGATTTCAGGTAATATTTACTTTACGTTTGATATATTTACCCATACACAATTTATCTACAACGTAAATGTATGAAATGTGTTGCTGTACTTAGTATACTATTTGTAACGTGCTACATAAACAAATCAGACAAAATTTTGGCCAGTGTGGTGTGTCAGGCCCAACAGAGGTGCACATGGCAAAATGTTCCTGGACCCTGAGAGTCTCCGAATCACAATCCTTAAGTCATCATTTGATCCATTTCTGGCTGACTTCTGTCGCTTGCTTCGTTGTCCTTTCAGTTTGGTGACCTATTTGAGAGTCTGTTGAGAGGCTCTGATTGAAAGGCTCAACAGTATATAATATTTGGCTGGCAGGTGCCAGAGACAGCCGCAATACACAGAGACCGGCGGGGCGGGGGACGCGGGGCGCGGGGGATGCGGGGCGCGGGGGACGCAGGGCGCGGGGACGCAGAGCCCGCGCTTTGGGCGGAGCACAGCTGTCGGCCCGCAGGCCTGCGCTTGTGGGGGCTTCTCTGCTGGCCTGGTGGCCGCTTAAAACCTGTCCGAAAGTTGTTATTATTTTTTCCCTGGGGTCTTCTTTATGAGAAGTGGCTGTTCATTATCACGTTGTTATTAATTGGCCTTCCCCTTATCGTTATGCTTGCTGAGCTTCAGCGACACTGATCGGGAACCCATTCTCTGTAATCAGGTGGGACATCACAGCCCGGCAATTTGTCAGTGGCTTTCATGCCTTTCATGTTGGTGTCTTAGCATTTGCCAGATCCAGATGAATAGATGGCTTTTGTCCTCTCAAAAGAAATAACAATGTCAACTTCACACTTGTTTTATGATGGAAAATCTTTGCCATCATAGTTTTCACATGAAAGATATATTTGCCTCTTCCCAAATGTCAAGTCTAATAGAAAGGGGATATAAATGATATATTTCTTTGTGGCCATCAACCCTTTAAGGTTATGACATGATGTGACACACCTATTTGTCATAATAAAGTAAGCACTTTTACTGATGTCTTGAATTTTTTAGTGTTTTCAAGTACTGTACATAGTCTGAGTTTATTCTGAAGTGTAAAAATTTTTATAGCATATTTAATATCAGGCCTCATTAATTAAATTGTTATCAGCAATATATTAAATATTTTGCTATAACTATTATTAAATATTTATGCAGGAAATATTTCTCCATAAACACAAGATTTATCTGATCTTTATATTTTTAAGTAAAAATAAAAATAGGCTTTAAAAAACAGCCAAAAGAATGGGAGGTAAGGTCATGGTGAACTGACCGTTGGCGGCTTTGGTTCTTTTTTTAAGTTAATTTTGTTTGTTAAAGGTTTTTTTTTTCCTTATTACTTCAATTTTCCTTAAACCTTCCTTTTTTTTTAAAAAGCATGAATTAACTGAGCTTTAAATGCTAAAAAAAATCAAAATAGTCAATATACAAATGTCATGACTATCAAGGGTTCATCATGAGGTGAATGTTTGAAAAGAATTCAGGTTATGACACATTCTGTTTAGTCTTCCTTTTTTATGTCTATTTTATTCTTCATTTAAAAAGAAATAAATTATCATTAGTCACTATTCGATCACTTCTTACTTTTCTCAAGAATTCTGTTTTTGTTTAAAGTAACTTGTCTTCATGGTATGAAGATAAATATACATGAGTTAATCAAGTGGATATTATTTTTGGACATCACTCTTATCAGTATCTCAAATAGCTTCACTTTAAGTGCATAAAAAGGGAATCATGCTGTGTACACTGGCCTTGTGACCCAGAATGCTGCTACCACCTCCCAATACGCCCGCCAACTCCTCATGCCTGCCACCAAGCACACAGACTCGACTTCCATTGAAAACTCTGCAATGTAAATATCGTTATCCTCCTTATACCCTTGAATTTACCAAAAAGGTGAGAATAATAAATGAAATCTATGAATCTTTCTGCTTCAGCTGCAGCCTGGGAACTCTACAGTGTTTCTACATCAGCAGAAAATCCCTCTGTCCTGCTCTTTTCCCTTAGGAATGCCCCATAGCTGTTTTGTGTAGAGAAAGTCCCATTAGGAGGCTTAAAAGGTTGTTAGAAGAGGCACTTTGGCTTAGCGGAGTGGTCTGAGAATCATAATCTGTGTTATATATATATTATTATATATAAATATAATTGTCATGTATATATAAATGAGGTTAAACACAAATTATACTGCGAATCAAGTTAAAAACACGAACCTTTGGAGCGCGGCCTATTTGGAACGCTGCATGTGTCGCGGCTGCGCCTGCGGCGACCGCCATTCTGTCACCCGCTGCGCGCGGTTTCATCCACGGAATTGAGCAGGCTAGAGCACACTGCCGCCTTCGCGTCGCGTGATCAATTGAATGTGCTTTTGAATTAGATCTATTTTTTTACTTTATTTGTATTAGAGCTTTATTATTATTATTATTATTTTCCCTCAATCTTTTAAGGCTGTGGTCCCCAACCCGGGTTCCAGTCCACGGCCTGTGAGGGACCCGGCCCGAGCCCCGCCCCCGCCGGGGTGGAAACTCGTCCTCCAGGGAGCTGGGGGGCGCCGCAGGGCGAGCAGCGGGGCGCCAGGAGGCTTCACCTGTGCTGCAGCGGCTCCCGGCACTCGCATCGCCCCGCAGCCCGCCTCCCCACAGCCGCCCCGGCGGTGGAAAAATCGTCTTCCACGAAATGGGTCCCTGTGTCCTAAAGGGTGGGGAGCGCTGTTAAGAAGTCTTGAGATAAATTCAGTGTTCTGGTGCCTGGGTGTCCACGCAACCCAGCAATGCCCTCAGTAAACATCCAGGAATGAATGAAAAGAGACATTGGTAAGTATCAAGAACGACCAAGCAAAAATAAACTCCTGACTGGATTTTTTTTAAGTCCTGTGTCTTACATTGCTTGAGGCACTATTATGTTAAATGCAAGTATAAAACATTGCATTTTCACAAAAATAATATAGTTGTATTGAACATGCAGAACCAGGAGCCAGGCATTACGACAGTCACTTCACCTACCTTGCACTACTCAGTCGGCGCCCAACTTCGGGCACTGCCGCCGCCGCACATCTGCAAGGAAGGAGGCAGTTCAGCGGGGTCCTGCACCCCGCTCAAGGGTGAAAGCCAGGATTGGCACGGAGCACCCAGGCTGCAGCGAGTGCCTGAACTGTCAGACGAGGGTCCTCTCCACCTGGCCGTGTGGGCCATAGTGGTGCATTTCCTCATTGCTGTACGTGGTCAGCAAATTGGCCTTAAAAATTTTTTTTTAAATTATCTTGTTATTTCACCATATTATGGGGGTACAAATGTTAAGGTTACATATATTGCCCATGCGCCCCTCCCCCAAAGAGTCAGAGCTTCAAGCGTGACCATCACACAAACGTTGCACATCTCACTCATTATGTTTGTATATACCCATCCCCTCCCCCTCCCACATGCCTGATACCCGATAAATGTTATTTCTATGTGTCCACTTAGGTGTTGATCTGTTAATACCAATTTGCTGGTGAGTACACGTGGTGCTTGTTTTTCCATTCTTGGAATACTTCATTTAGTAGAATGGGTTCCAGCTCTATCCAGGAAAATCCAAGAGATACTAAATCATCATTATTTCTGAAAGCTGAATAGTATGTATATATACCACATTTTATTAATCCACTTACGTATTGATGTGCACCTGGGTTGTTTCCACACCTTTACGATTGTGAACTGCGCTGCTATAAACATTCAAGTGCAGGTGTCCCATTTGTAGAGTGTCATTTGATCTTCTGGGTAGATTCCCAGTATTGGAATCCTGGATCAAATGGTAGATCTACTTGTATCGCTTTAAGGTATCGCCACAGAGGTTGAACTAGTTTGCAGACACACCAGCAGTGTAGGAGTGTTCCTCTCTCTCCCCGCATCCACGCCAGCATTTGTTGTTTGGGGACTTTTTGATAAAGGCCATTCTCACTGAAGTTAAGTGATATCTCATTGTGGTTTTGATTTGCATTTCACTGATGATTAGAGATGTTGAACATTTTTTCATGTGTTTGTTGGCCATTATTCTGTCTTCTTTTGAGAAATTTTTGTTCATGTCCTTGGCCCATTTTTTGAGAGGGTTGTTTGATTTTTTTCTTGCTGATTTTCCTGGTTTCTAAATAGATTCTAGTTATAATCCCTTTATCAGATGTGGAGCTTGAAAAATTTTCTCCCATTCTGTGAGA